ATTCAGGTCCAGAAGACACTGGAATCGTTGGACAAGCTTGAGCAGGACAAGTATGTTTTTTCCTCAGACAGAAAACCGTCACTAAACTTTTGCAAGGTTAGCTCAAAATTGGACCCTGCAAAGTAAAGAAAATCATTTCAAAAACCAATCAAGAATCCAGCTTCATCTGAGCAGTGATGAAAGCCTGGAGGCTAATACCAAAAATTATAATTATGGTTCGGAGTCTCGAGGGACTTCTTGGGGTCCAAGATTTCGTGTCAAAATCGGACAGCGTATCAACATATAGGTATATAATATAGGTATATACATTTACATATATATATATATATATTGTCTATACATAGGTATAGATACAGGTTTTCATATATATATATATGACTGTGTATACATCGTTTAAGCTGATCTTAGCGACTTGCAGCTTCTGAATCTTTCCAGCCAACTTGCTGTGAGGTATTCAACCTGCTTTGTGGCCAAGCTGAGTCTTGCAGGGGCGCTCGACATTTGAAGCTTTTTGACATCGAGATTTGCAACAAAGGGTTTTGCAAACTGATTGGCATTGGCAAGGGTCGGTTTCGCACTTTAAGTGAGTCAGCACGATCTGGTGCACAAGTCGCTCCACTAGATGGCCGATACCTACCAAAAGAACCACGAAAGCAGAGCTACAAAAGAAGTTTGGTGTATGACTTTCTGTACAACTTGTATTTGACAGCAGGCGAGACGCTGCCAGATTCTGCACACCCGTCGTCAAACAAAAGGCCCCGACATGGACAGTACCGATATGATGAAAAATCTTTGGATAGAACCAAGCTGCGGCATTTGCCGCCTGGAAAATTCATGGATTACTATCGCCTTTGCACCCTTGAGTACCCTGATGAAAAGATCTCCAGAAAGCTTTTCACATCAGTCGGGGAACCTAATGGCCAGATTTCAGAATTATGATAGATTCAGCTCAGCACTGCAAAAATCGTTTTGTCATGTTTTGTGCAATATTGTCCAATATTAATATGTGACAGTTTGATATCAAACTATGTCAGAATATGTGTCACCCGCAGACTGTGCTGCCCGGCCTTTGAGGTCTGGATGGTAGATTTCCAAGACCGCCTGAGAATTCGGGCAACTTCACACCACGCGCGGTGTAGCATTTGCGTTAGGCACCGGCTAATTATTCGGAGGATCGGACAAGGGCCTGGGAGGCTGGCCCAAATTGCCGAGTACAAGCGGCATTTGGGCCGCCAATATCGTGACAGGCAAGTATACTGGGGCCATCGGTCTCAGTCTCGAAGTGATGCAATTTCTGGGGCCCCTATTCGACACTTATCTTTAATCGTTGATGGGATGGACCAGGCAAAACATGCCTATCCAAAATCAGAAAGTTTGGGGAGCAAGGAGTTTGCTTCGTGGAGTAGACCGCGACTGGCTGCCACTACTATACTGGCTCATGGCCATGCTGTGGTTGTTGGACTATCCCCGGACAATGTTCCAACCAGTGGATCCCGGACCATGGAACTTGTGTCATACATGATGACGAAAACCTTGAGTTACATTCACTGGCCAAATGTTTTCCTACACTTGGAGGCAGACAATTGCTGCAAGGAGTTGAAACACCAAACCTCCTTACGCATGATGGGGACAATGATAGCCCTGCACCGGCTGAGAGGCTGCGAATTTTCGTACCTTTCCACGGGTCACAGCCACGAGGACATTGATGCCTACTTCAGTTTGGCATCCTCTTGGTTGGAGCGCCACAAGGAGTTGTGGAGCATCAATGACTTCCAAAAGTGTTTGACAGCCATGCTTGCCAACAAACAAGTGCGGGTGAATGAACCGAAACGAGATGTGGTCGTGTTCGACCGTTTTCGGGATTGGAAGCCTGACTTCATTATCGGTATATTATTGGTCAAACTTATGCGTGTGATATCAACATATATCACCAATGCTGTAACATTACCACTTTCTTGGGGGCAGTGGCGTTTGCATCTAGCTGCCAAATCGATGAGATACCCAGCTAGCAACTTGGGAGCCCGTGCTGCCCAGGAAATTGCATTTTGGAGAGCTTCTGGGGCATCTTCACCTGAAGGGCATCGGGGGGCCCGGTGCGCCTCATGTGTTCAGACTGGAGCGCTTGAGAGATACAGGACCAAGCAGTGAATTTTACATCCTTGATAGCTGCTTGAAAAAACATGACAAGAAACCATTGTTCTTTGTGAAGGACTTACCTTGGAAGACTTGGACTGCAAATACTGGAAGCGCCACCGGGTGCAGCACACTGATAGTGATGTTGTTTTAAGGACAGGCTGAACTCTGTGTGCTCTGTATTTTGAACGGTTTTCAAATCTCAGAAGTTTTCATTTTCAATTGTCACAGGACAAAACGGTGGATGAGCGACGCCAGCTTTCAGAAAACGGCGTTTTGGTATCTCCCTGCCTCAATCGCCAGTGGCATTGCTCTTGAACCAGCTCCTCCAGGCTGGAATTCTGAATTATGAGAACATATGAGAAGTAAGTTTTGAGAATTGAAAATCATGAAATATCATGAAAATTTTGCCAACGACTTCTGATTCTGTTTGCCACATGTAATTCTGTTTGCCAGTCTATGTGGGGCCATCCGTGGACACTGACAGCGAGGATCACAAAAAACTCAGAAAGTATGCTGAAACATTGCGTGCCAATCTTAGCTGACTAGTTTCAGTTGCAATGAGTGCTTGGACGATCATACGACTTACTGGGTAACAATCTCAGTTCTAAGCAATTTGTGTATGGGATAACCCCACTTAGGGTACTCACTAACCAGGGTTATTCACAACTTACTAAGTTTTGGGCACCCTGATTCTTTGCTGGCTTTTAGGTCAACCACCCTTTGAGATGCACTCTGCAGCTGCGGACATTGAAGACTTGGCCAACAACTTTCTGGCAAGATATCCCTTGTTGGATGTCCACAGGTTCGGGTCCTAGTATATCCTTGTCAATTAGGTTTTAAACAAAGCACCCTTGCGATTGAGGTGTTTCCCCAGCGGAGGTCCTGCAGTTGGACCCGGTGTGCGTCCCCAACCTCGTCCGGTGGGCCAGAACTTGGAAGCTGTTGCTTGAAAGCCATTCGGTTTCGGGACCAGGAAACTAATAAGATTCACTAAGAGTGTGCGTTTTGGGGCTTTCATCCTGAAGTTGAATGTTGCAACAGGTACTTGTGGGCCAAGTCAAAGCAAACCAGTTTTGGGGGGCCAATTTGGGCTTCCGTTTCGGATGCATTGGATTCCAAAGCAAATCACTCCATCGGATCCTGGGCTCCCGTTTTGGGATCGTTGAACATAGCTTCATCCATCCGAGGGTTTCGATTTTTGATGGTACATTTATAAGCACTCTTAGCAACCAACTTGATGCTTACCTCAAAACCCGAGCTTATAACCACTGTTCGGTATAGCCATTTAAGAGAGAAAACAATTTCCCATTTTGGGCTCTTTAGGGAACAGTTGAGATTAGCCAAATTTGATTCCAGTCTGGACCAGTGTTGCTGAGGCTGACAACCCCTTGAGGCTGGTCGTCGATCGTCCTCCGAGAAGGGAGATGCAATTGTACCAAAAAGCCCGCGTGCAAGGAGCCCTGTACAAAGCAGCAGCCAATTTGTGGGCCCATGGGGTTCCAATTGGGAAATCAATCGAAATAGTAGAATCTGCCATGAAGGATGCAGGGGAACTTTAAACCAGTGTAAAATCAATTTACAAAAGAATTGTTCTTCAAAATCAGGCTTCAAAGTTCTCTTGTGAAGGCAGTCTGTCTGTCAGCTAGGGGCTGAGGCTTAGCTTGGCAAACTGGAAAATTTAAGTAAACGACTTGATTTCACATCGTGGTTTTATTTGCAGCCGATGCTAGAGAAGCCTCATGGTTTAGTGCCGCAAGAGAAACTGAGCGTGTGCGCATTCAATGGGGAAAAGTGCAAATTTTCCACCCGGGCTGCCCACCCAAAGCAAGGTCCACGATGTGATATTTTCTGGGTTTTTGAACATTTTATGGTGACCTTTTTTGGGGGCCAACCCAAGTGGCAATTTACAAGTTTGCTGTTTGTGCGTCCTTTTTTTCAGACATATCCCTTGCTTTTCTGGGGAGGCTATTTGTGCTTTCCGAGGACATCAGCAAGCACAAACACCTTGGTCCTGGTAGCAAAATCAAAACGCATTATTCTTGAAAAAAAGAAAAGAGGAAATCCAAACTTCCTGGTAGGTTTTGTGCTTAGCGATGGCAACCCTAAGCGCAGAGTGAGGATGGGAATCCCAAAACGGTTTTGTGCTTAGAGGGAGCTACTTCTCGGCAGAAAACGTAATTGGGGGAGGTGCTTCTCGGCAGAAAACGTTGAAAAAAACAATTGAGGAATTCCAAACTTCCTGGTGGGTTTTGTGCTTAGCGATGGCAACCCTAAGCGCAGAGTGAGGATGGGAATCCCAAAACGGTTTTGTGCTTAGAGGGAGCTACTTCTCGGCAGAAAACGTAATTGGGGGAGGTGCTTCTCGGCAGAAAACGTAATTGGGGGAGGTGCCGCTCGGCACAAACTGGTGGTGATGCCAACCCTATCCGGCACAAACTGGTGGTGATGCCAACCCTATCCGGCACAAAATCCTTTGGATCAGCATCCTGCTGAGCCACCTCACTTGCCAGGTGTGATCGAGCCTCAATGGCGGGGAAGCGCAAGTCTGGTGGGGCAGCAGCAGACAAAGGAGGAAAATCCCAGAAATCATTGGCCTTGCCGGCCATTCCAGCTGACTCCAAGCACCTCCCACACATCCAGTTATTTGAAGAATGGTTGAAATTCGGCTGAAATTAAGAACTTCGTGGGGTCATGTCATTTAGCTTTGGCTATCATTCACTAGTTGATTTGGACTTCAAGGACCGAATGTATCAAGCAAGATGGATCTTTGGACAGCTATTTGGCCAAGCAGCTTGAAAAGAAGGAGATTTGAAGCATGAGTGCATCTGCTGTCCACGGCCACCGCCTGACAACGGCTACAGGAGATGGCTATTGATATCTACAAGCACATCGAGAAGGAGTTTCCTCCAGAACCTGGTGTGCCTTAACCTCAGCTCAGGGTTTCCATTTATTTTATTGGTCTTTTGCATCTGTCTTTTGCATGCTCAGGTCCTATGCTACTGAGTCGGGATTCCAAAACTCCGGCCCTGCCGCTGCCCATTGCATCAGGCCCTGGATGCTTCCCCATCGCAATGACTACGGGTTGAGGGGCACCGCTGATGTCGCCGATTGGTTTTGATTAGCATGCAAACCAGCATGTTTTCTCAAATGGACAGATATGATTTGATTACAAGATGCATTCAAAGCCCAATCCCTCACCCAGGAAGTTCAGCGTACCCTTGCGTTGCTGATGATGCTGAATGGTCTCCAAAGCAACCCCAACCTGCCGGGAGTTGAGAAGTTTGTTCTAGCAGACGTCAATGAGAAGTGGCTACAGAGCAAAAGCATGAGGATCAGCAGTGGGGAGGTTGGTGCTGACCAGGGGCTGGTTCCTCCTCAAAGTTTGTTTGCTGCAAAAGGTTGGAACAGGTCGGTATGTGCAATGCTGGTCATGGTGGCCACCTACGAGCTGGGCGACGCTCTTCTCAAGGACCAAACCAGTTCTGGAACTAAACAACACATAATAGTCACAAACAGCTTGAGAACAAGTCGACTTGCTGTGACTGAAGGAAATGCCAGAGGATGTCAGGCGGCCCAAACCTCAGTGTGTTTCCATGTTCCATTTATGTTCAATTTAACTGTTTCTTTTCTTTGGGAACGGTTCAATTGGAAAACGATCGAAACCCACTCAGGTCATTCTCAACGATCCACTGCACAAAGGTGACCGGGGATCTCGCAGACATGGTGAGCATGAACAGAGGCCCACCTATCTACCTTGATTTTTGTGTTAGCGCAGAACCCAACCCATGTGCCTGGTCTTTGTGCCTCAGGTGTAACCCTCGTGTCCACTGCCATTCGGCGCCGGCCTAATGCTTTCAACTTGCTACATCAGTGCGAGCTGATGCTGTGCACTGGTGTAGCGGGAGAGGCAGCTCTTCAGAGCTTGCAGGTGCAAAATCTATCAAAATCATTCAAAATCTGAATTTCCAACATTTTTCAACCAGTCATCATGTCAAGTCCAATGGACTATCCATCCAGGCTTACTATCTAAGTCATGCTTCGACATTGTTTTTGGATTGACCAGGCTTTTGACAATGCATCGGCCTTCGCTTCGGTGTACCAAGTGGGAAAGCTGGAAGCTGGGGCCTGCACAAATCTGTTGAAGCACATGGATCAGAGCACACGTGATGCATTGCGAGACTTGGTGAGGCTTGGGGCCACTGCTTTCCACAATCAATTTCAATAAGTTTGTTTGGTTTCCACCACTATAGCTTTGAGAACTTTATCCTTGACAGGCGGCATGGTCAACCCAAGTTCATCCTCCATGATGGACTGGCAGCTGGCATATTTAATGCCACTTACAACGGGGCAGGCTCGGGCCTCCAACCATGGGAGGCATGTCTTCAGAACACCTCGGAAACTGTTCAGCTAATGCTGGACCGTGTCAAGCGGGATTGGGAATCAATGAGCCCAAAGATGCGTCGTCCGTGGTCTTTGAAAGACTTGGAAACTTGTCTTGTTTTCTGACTGGATTGCATTGATTGGGGCAAAATGCGCTTGCCCTTAATCTTGCCTGTTTTTTTGTTCACTGAACCCAAGGAGGTGCTTCAACGAGTGTGCTGCGCTTGCAAAGCTTGCTGCGCACGGTTCAAGGAACTGGTGCCCGCAGGCTTCTATGCCAAGGTGGAAAGTGAGATCATGGCAACGTTTCTGACCCAGATTGCTTTAAGTAATTCTTAAGTAGTTGCTGGTGGCAAATCATCAAAACAAGATTGGCAAGTCAATTTTCAACCAACTGCTTAGCTTCAGGTTTATGCACCGTCATGCAGATGCAGACCTCACAGCTTTGCTGACCGCAACGGTCCCCCCAGCGGATCTCAACAAGGTGTCCGTGTTTGCGGCTCACTTGGACAAGTTTCACCAAGAGGTGCCAAACCAGTGACCGATTGAGAAAATTATCTGAGCCATTTACCCAGTGAGATTTTAACCCAGTGAGAAAATTATCTGAGCCATTTACCAGTGAGAAAATGATCTGAGCCAAACCAGTGACCCGTTCGTGCCTCCAGGCACAGGAGAGCAAGCTGCAAAAAGCGGCAGAGCCTCCCAGCTCAATCGAGGTATACGCAAATGATATTATATGTATGTATGTATGTATGTATGTAGGTAGGTAGGTATGTATGCATGTATGTATGTTTGTTTGTTTGTATGTGTGTATGTGTGTATATGTTTTTTCATGAACACATGTATACACCAAACGCTGCCGCATACTTCGAAGGTGGAGTAGTATGCGATGCTGGTCAAAAGATGTCAACAGATAAAGGCATGACGAAGGACATGTTGACATTGTCTTTGCTTTGTAAGGCTTAGCGCTGCGCTCTTGCAGACTACTTGGAGTCAAACTGAGCTCCAGATCGAAGATGACATGACAAAGCTGCGGACTTGGGCGGCAAAGTTTCATTTGTTTGCATCTCAGCAGGCTGGGGATTTTGTAACCACGGAACTTGCATCATGAAGAAGTATGGTCAATGATCAATTTTTGCATCAGATTTTTTGCAAAGTTTTGTCATCGTCATCGTATGGTCAATGCTTCCAGGGTGGGATGGACGTTCAGTACCTGAGTGGACGATATGAGAAGGGAAAGATTGCGGTCTGCAAATGCATGCAGAAACGTCATTGCACAGTGCAACACCGGAGCATCGTGCTGGCACATGGGGACATAGTCGAAAAACAAGCCAGGTTGGGGCCGTCCACGTTTCTTGGCTCCGAGTCCTTCCGTGCGTGTTGGGGTTCTGTTCACAAAATTTTTTTAAATGCTTGCCAAACCTACTGTAGGCTGACAATCTTGGTCGTTGACAACACGTTGTGGCCATCGCGTTCCTCATCTGCTGATTTGGGGTTCATGTGGGGTTGACAATCTCTTGAAATGTTTCCCACTGAGTTGTTGCCTTAGGAGCATTATCTATTGACGAGAGCGTTTCGCTTTGTCAAGCGGTGTGCTCGGGAAATTCTGGGAGTGGAGCCTTCTTTCTTCTTCCCCAACCACACTGCTCCTGCAACCTGACAACTGTCTTCAAACACCGCCGGTTGATTGAGGACAAAGTGGTGGCGAGCTTTGGCATTAACAGTTTGATTCATTGTCATGAATCTCCCCATTGATTCTTCCGAGATTAGATGTTGCATCTGTGCGCGGGTAAATTTATAGATGGGAAGGTGGATGGATGGAGGGGGTAGGGATGGATGGATGGATGGATGGATGGATAGATGGATGGATGGATGGACAAAGGTATGGATAAGTGCAGATATACGGCTTAATAAGCGGATGTATGTTGGTGCAGTACAAATCAACACTCTTTGTGCCAACATGCAGTTTTCATCCGAAAAGCTCATGCATGCAAGCATGCGAGTGAAGACATATTGCATACATTAAACAACCATATGTCATCATATGTGCAAAGACTGCATGTATTACCTACCTACCTACCTACCTATCTACCTGAATGCTTACATACATACATACATACATGCATGCATACATACATACATACATACATTCATACATACATACATACATACATACCTACAAAATTACATTCATTCATCCAGTCATTCTTCCATTCATGGCTGTTCCAGTGTTGGTGCAGCTAAACACACGTTCATTCAGTCCAAGATTTGGATATCCAGTCCAACATGGTGATAAAGACTACTTTTGGTCAACCGTTCAGTTCCGCGCGGCTTCTGAGGAGCTTTGATGTGAGCGAGGTGGCACTTGCCTTCAACACAAGCTCTCACCAGGGGGACAAGAGAAAGACTTCCCAGCAATGATTCTGGGCTGAAATCTTACATGCTGATCAAAAGGGAAGGTTGATCATAGGGAATGTCAATGCACTCTTTTCATGACTGGACTGAACGCTGTTGAACTCTTGAGGCCTGTTCGCGACCCTCGCCGGGCACAAGGTGAATGAACTTGCAAAATCAAAGGCAATGTTGGGAAGCATCACAGCAGTGGACCGCAGCAGAGTAACTGTGCCATGTGGGGAATCTACTGTGGGGACATTGTTTTTTCCCAATTCTTAATCTTCCATTTGGGGGATATTTCGTGAAGCTACTGGCTAGCCATTGCAATCGAAGGTAAGCGAACTTCAGAACCCAGAGGAAGACAAACCACTTGCTGCTCACTGGCGAGCTTCTTGCTTCAAAATTGGTGGTATGAGCTATCCCCCATGTTTGGTTTGATGAGGGTTGTTATCACAATCCAGAGCGGCAACTCTTTACAAAAAAACAAACAGTTCCAATGAGGTTCAGCAAAGGGGTGTCACAGCAACGAGAACTGTCATCGAGAAGATCTTGGACGGCCTCTCGATTAAAAGCCAGCCAGTTTTGGTGGTGGACTGCATGCCCAATCGGCTTCCTGGAGTTTAATTATTAGCAGCAGCTTCAACATGTCCAGAATCATGCCTGGATCCCCCTTTCCCCAGCATGCCTGAGTCCCACGAGGTTCTTGGAATGGTCCAGCGCATGCCTCTCGATGCAGTTGGAAGAGTTGACCAGCATGGACAACTACCGGGGGCCCTGCATGCACTACATGGGAATCTTCCTGGAGGACGATGCGGCTCTAAGCCGAACTCTTGAAAGCACAGTGGCCGGAAAAATCATGTCAGACTGGTGGGATGAATGCACCGACGCTGGTCCCAAGAGACGACCCCGGAGCTCTTTCGCAGAGCCTGTCCCATCACTGGATGTTGTCGTGGTGACAGATGATGTAGTGAAGACACTTTGATATTATTGTTTGGCATTTTTTTGGTCCAACAAAATGATCCACCTACAGAATTTCTTCAGACATGTTTTCAAAATCATCCCTTCGAACATGGGTCAGGATTCCAGACTTGGTGAAGAACAAGTACGCGAACAGCCATGGAGCATCCCTGAAAACCATGAGCGACATGATCACCGCAGACAAGGATGTGGCCACTGCTCTGAAGGGAAGCGCTGGTGAGTCGTCCGTCCAGCCTTCGGCATCCGGAGCCGCCACTGAATCTCCTGCCGTGCAAGGCGTGCGGACTTTGGCATCGCCGGACTATGATGGGCAGCCAGTGCCAAACTTTCACCGGAGGGTGGACTTTGAGGAAAAGCCACTGGATGAGTTCAATGCTTCTCAAACGCTACTTGTTTTGGATTACTTAGGGGTTATATTATAGGTCAAATCCGTTATGTTATATTATTTAGGGATTATATTACTTAGGGCTTATATACTTAGGGGTTTCACCTTCACATCATATCAACCTCCAGGCTTCATTGCTGTGCTACTTTGGCCAATTCAGCCCTGAAAATTGGCAAGACCCAGAATGACGGCGCTTGGTGGATCATCAATGAGACATCACAGAATGTCGACCTAGATTCCAGAGAGCTTTTTGGATTCAACGTCGGATCCTTCGCTGAGGTACCCACAGGACCATTCCCCGAACTGATGGTGCAAAAACATGATATTAGAAATAGCTGCCACCCTTTTTGTCCCAGTCTGTCCTTGTCTGTTCCAGAGCAGGAGATGCTTCCACCTTGGTGGATCAAATTGCGTGGACTGTTGGCTCCGACATGGATGTGATTTGCTTGTCAACACAAGAGGGCACGAACATCGTCAAAAAACTCATGACCGTTGCCGACGCAGTGTGCTCAATCACCGCAAGCCGCGGAGCAACAGAAGCTGCAATGGTCGACCATGATATGTCTCCGATGACAAAGGATTGGGATGCAAACAACTTATTTTGATTGGCACCTTTGTTCAAAACCAAGTGTTTGGTCAATCACTGGAGTATGGGTCTACTCGGCCTAAAATAACAACAGTGTTTGGATCTATTTGCATTTTGGGGACCACCTTTGGCTTGAACTCTATTCATGTTGATCAGCTCAAGCTTTAGTTTCCTGATCAGGTGGTTGGAGAAGAGACAAAGGTGATGCAGTTCCGCTACAAGATCGACTCTCGATCGAAGACAAATGCTTTCAAGCCAAAGCCGATGGATGATTTGCTCAACGTGAGGTATTCCCAGCTTGGAGGATGCTTCTCATCCTACAACACTTTGCTGAGATCGGACAATGTTGGCATCGTGTGGGAGGCCAGGTTGTCATGACTAACCCAAGGCTATTCAGCCATTATCTTCTAACCCAAGGGATCCCGTTTAAATTAACTTCCATATTTTTGGGGTTGATGACAACAAAACAAATGTTGCCCCTAAAGGTGAAAATCACTTCGGCGATCCCGGCGGTTCTCACTCCGGTCAAGCCAAAGTACTTCCTACTTTGCAGCACAACAGTCAAAGCCACCACAGCGGTGAAGCTCAAGTAGATGTTTTCCAAAGCAAGTCTTGAAAAGACTGCCATTTTTGACAAGGGTTTCCCAGTGCCACAATGTCGGTTGCAGAGTGCTATCATGTACAATGTACAATCAATATGAATCAATACCACCAAAAAAAACGTGTTAAGTGTTGTGTGTTAATTGAATACCTTCAGCTGGCACGCAGTGGTAACTGGATTTCTGGGCTGCCTGGCGCATAGGCAGAGAACCATGTCAGGGAACGCTTTCTGAAAGACCTGCAAAGGCATCAGCTTCAAAGTACACTGCAAGCATTGGACTGGTTTCCATACCAACTTCAAGTTCATTACTACATGACAACATGCTCAGTGAACGTTTATTGTTTTTTCCTTGCAAGATTTTGGATATCAAACGGGGCTTGAAGCCATGACTTTGGACGCTGTGGAAAACTTGTCGGACGATGATGCTACTACTCTTGCATTGTCACCCAACGTTGGGCGAGGGGCTGCCAACACAAACCCGACCGCGAAACCCAAACCCAAGAGTGCTAGCAAGTCAACAGCAACGCCGAAGCCAAAGAAGGAATCAAAAAAAAAGGTTCAGAAAGAGCACAGCAAGCCAAAGGCCGAGCCGAAGCCAAAGAAGCGCCCAGCCTCTCATGCTGCTGCAAGCAGCGTGCCACCCATGAAAAAGCCCGCCGCGAAGGCCACAGCTACAAAAGACCCTGACCGTGTGAGTGTTTGCATCAGTGAGTACAAAAGAAATGGAGTATGGAGTGTGAAGCTCAACCAGAAGGAAGTCATCCGAGCGAATTAGCTGCAATTGTTTTTTCTTCATCAAGTACCCAAGCATGCTGTTGGTGTTGCTGTGCTTATCGTATCTTATCCTCACATTGTCTCACATCAGCATGGTTTTCGAAATTTGAGGTGAAACCAGATGTAGCTCTTAAAGGTGAAGAAGTTGCTGGGATTGCGGTTCCTAGCCTGAAGAAACTTCTATGAAACTTCTGTGGGACATCGCTGCTAGGGTATGGGTCAAACTTTTACTGCTGGACTTTCCTTGTAATGGGGTCGTTTGTGGGTTTCCGTTCGGTTTGACCCGTACCTTTGGTTTCCCTGTTCAGCCATCCGAGGCGGCAGTCAAGGAGGAGCTGCTTCGCACCAAAGGAGATGTTAGTGCTGCAGCATCCCTTTGTGTGACTTTGTTTGCACAACACATATTCATATGATTACTTACTAGGTGGCCAGCACCACCCATTTGCAGTATGAGCTACTTGAGGATGTTCACAAGCTATCATGACTGGGCCCCCATTCATAACCCCTTAAAGTTTCATCGAGTTTTCAAATCCGTTGCCATAACACCTGATTCTATGGAATCTATGAGGCATGCTGCCATTCATCACCCCTTAAATGTTCATTCAATTTTCAAACCAATTGCCATCACATCTGATGCTGAGGAATCTATGAGACATGCTATCACCCCTTCAATTTGCATCGAGTTTTCAAATCCGTTGCCATCACATTCTGAGGAATCTATGAGACATGCTGCCATTGAGAAGGCTTCTGCGAAGAAGCCAGATGCTGAGGATCCCCCACAAGACAACGTGGAGGACACCAGGGAAGAAGCCAATGAGGGAGAAGAAGAAGATCTTGCGGATGATGCCATGGTTGAGGACTTTCTCTTTAAACACGTTAGGTTGAATTCGAAACAACGCTTGCTGACTCTTTGATCTTTTCCCAACCTTGCCTGAAAAACAGCATGTGGCAGGAATCTCAGTCGTGAGCCCGGGCCTGCGGTAAATTCGATGATATGAGTGGGGAATCAATTCCTGCCTCAATGGCCGACGTGAATCTGGTTGAGACCCGTTCAGCGGAGAAACAATTGTCTCTGGTCTGGTGCACCCCCAAAATCATGTTCTTTGAAGTTGGTTTTCGCCATGAGGTGAAGTTTGCGTTGAATTTCCGCAAGTTTTGAGATTCAGTTGACTCTTGAGTGCACGAAGTCTTGCTGCGATCCAATTTTTGATGGCTGCTGATGATCCGCGCCAAGATTTTGGGAAAAGCAAAATGGGAACCTTGACTTCGATACCATGGTTGTTTTGCATTATGATGTCACTCCGACTGTTTTTATTTGTTCCGTCAAAAAAAACCAAGGATTGCCCTGGTCTGGCGTTGAACCTCCTGAAGACTACCTGTTCCAAGTTACAATCAGCAATGAGACTTCTGAGATGAAACCCGTAAGTGATGCAGAGGACGCTGGAATCCCAAACCTACTGGTCTGGCTGTACAACAATGTTGTACACAGGGTTCCCGGTGATGATGTGATTAAAAACGAAGAACTAATTTACATTGTGCAAAAAACAGTTCTGGAGCATGAGCCCACCTGGTGTGCCCGTGTGGAATGTTTCAGCATTTTGGACCAGCAACAAATTACGGTTTGTTTCAAAATCGCTGGCCAAGCCTAGATTCTCTGAGCTATACGCGAGACCAAGGCTGCTGATCGGCAAAAAATGTTGACTGCGTTTAAATTTCTGGACAAACATGTGGATCAAACACTAGTCACTTGGAAACATCACAACATGCATTCACAGAGTGAGTTCACGCTGAAAACAGTTGGAAAAAACACTCACTCAGGTGCGCAATCTACTATTTACGCAAACTTGTACAGGACGGGGACACCCCGAAGTGTATTGTAAACAAAACCCATCAGCTAGTGATGTGTCACTTTCTGCCACATGTTTCTGTCGCATTGGGAACCCGTGCTGATTCCAGGAGGCCATCTCCACAAAGCCGGTGCGTTGCATCGGCACCGGTTGGCCAGACGGTTGGCCGGATGGAAGGAAAGATATACAGATAGATAGATGGATAGAAAAGAAGAAGAAAAGGGAAAGAAGAAAAAACAGACATAGAGAAAGAAAGAAAGAAAGAAAGAAAAGCATCAAGACAAACAGAAGGAAAGAACATAAAGAAAGACAGAAAGAAAAAAGGAAAGAAAGAAAGAACGAACTAAAGAAATAAATAAATAAAGAAATAAAAAAAATAAAGAAAGAAAGAATTAAAGAAAGACAAAAAGAAAGAAAAAAAGAAAGAAATAACGAATAAAACAAATACAGAAAGAAAGAAATCAAGAAAAAAAATAAAGAAAGAAAGAAACAAATGCAGAAAGAAAGAAATAGATAAAGAAAGAAAGAAACAAAGGAAAAAAAAAAGAGAGAAAGAGAAAACAAGAAAAAAACATAAGAAAAGAAGAGAGAAAGAAAGAAAGAAATAAAGAAATAAAGACATATAGAAATAGAAAGAAATAATGAAAGAAAATGATGAAATAAAGAAAAGCAGAAAAAGAAAGAAAGAAAGAAATACAGAAAACAAAAATAAACAAAATAAAAGAAACAAAGAAAGAACGAAAGAAAGAACAACAGAAACGAAGGAAGGAAGGAAGGAAGGAAGGAAGGAAGGAAGGAAGGAAGGAGGGACGGAATGATGGATGGAAGGAAGGAAGGAAAGAAAGAAAGAAAGAGAGAAAAAGAGAAACAGTGAAAGAGAGAAAGAAAGAAAGAAAGAAAGAAAAGAAAGAAAGAAAGAAAAACAAGAAAGAAAGAAAAAAAGAAAAAAGAGACATAAGGAAAGAAAAAAACAAGAGAAAAGGAGGAACAAAGAAAAGTACGACAAGAAAAGAAAGGATAGAAAAGAAAGAAAGAAAGAAACATGACGAAATAAAGAAAGAAAAGGCGGAAAAAGAAAATAACAGACAAAGCAGATAAACAAAAGAAAATAAAAGAAAGAAAGAACGACAAGAGAGACAAACATAATAAAAACCAAGAAAACAAAGCAAAGAAGGAAAGAAAACATAAATCAGAAATAGAAGAGGAAAATAAAGAAATAAATAAAGAAACAGTAAAGAAATAAACAAAGAAGTAGAAGAGAAAAGAAAAGGAGCATAACAAAAGAACAATCAAAAAGAAAGAAAGATCAAAAGAAAGATACAAAGAACAAAAGAAGGAAAGAAATAAAGAAAGAAGGAAAGACAGAAACGAAGGAAGGAATGAAGGAAGGAAGGAAGGAAGGACGATAGGAAGGAAGGAAAGAAAGGAATCAAGAAATAAAGAAAAAAAGAAAGACAGAGAGAAAGAGAGAAACAAAGAAAATGAGAATTAAAGAGAGAAGGATAGGAAGAGATAACGAGAGAAAGAGAGAATGAGAGAAAGAAAGACAGGGAGGAAGAGAGAAATAGGGAACGACAGAAAGACAAAAAGAAAACGGAGAAAGAGGAAATAACGAAAAGTAAAACGATAGAACAAAGAAAGATAGATATACCAGTAGACAGACAGAACAATATATAGACAAACAGACAGGCAGACCGATAAATAGATTGATAGATAGATAGATCGGTAGAGCGATAGCTAGTTAGATAGACAGATAGATAGATAGGTCAGCACATAGAAAATACACACACATATTTACTTAGCTGAGCCTGGTTGAGCTCTTAACATGGCATGCGATCCAGGGATCGTCCGTCCAGAGTCAGCTGGGTATGAAAGGCCTAAGAACTTATATCATATTACATTTATGTATGTTAGTTATTTAGGATGCATTTACCTTTTTGGGGGAGGGGGTTGCCAGGAAGTGTAAGCATCTATATTTGTATACACCCTTTCAAAAAATGCCCGGTTTCTCTCCATGTCTCCATCCCTTTATTATACATAGTCTCGCGCTCTAATGGCCGCATTTTTTTTTAGCGGTTTTCGGTGTCGGCTCAAGACAGCTGATGCAGCTGAGGATGCTGGTTTGACAAGCACTTTTGGCCAGCAACGTTTGGAAA